CTGGATCAGCAGATTTTGGGTTCAGGAAGGTTAAAAGGTTGAATGAGTCAAGCATGGTGAGATAGTGTGTAGCGGGTTTGTGTCTTTAAGAGCTCAGATACACATTAAGTATTTGTAATGTGATTGTTCAAGCTTTGTGGTTTGTAATCGTTTGTCAGCTTTTCACTTGTTCGTGGAAGCGAACTCTCTCGGGACGGAGCTGCATTACTCAACAAGTCAGCAGTCGAATACTATCCACTGATCATCATCTCTCACAGTGCAGCTCAGTTGTTTCAGCCTGTTGTTTGGTGTTGCTTAACCGGGTTTCCTGGGACATAAAGCAACATTTCAGATCCTTTCATTCTCTCCTTTAGCTCCTATTACCACCATTAGACATTCAGCGAGCAGCCAAATGAAACCTAAGGACAAACTGTAATACCACCTTTTTCCAAAACCGCTGCTCCATTTATTTAAACCATCAGATTGCTAATGATATACTGGTTTATTGTGGTGGCAAAGCCAACTCGAATTAGACGCCTGAGCAACGATTAATGGCAGGTCAGAACTTTTAGAGTAATAAATGTGACATTTATTCCATCTACATGATTTCATCTACGGAGGATTAGAACCTCATATTTCATGCAGGAATAATTGCACAGCTCACTCGCTCTCTGCAGGCTGAGTACTTTCTAAGTGCACGTCGATGAAACCAGAACGCTGGCAGCAGGACAAACATTTGCTGGCTGGTGAGGCCTAATATTGTTTATGATAAATGGTGAGTCGTGTGCATTGTTGGACTCGTGCGGCTGAAAGCTTTCCAAGTGGAGCTCGTCTGTTGCTTTTGAGCCGCTGCATGTGTCGGCGAGAAACAGATCGACTGTACAGGATGAAGTCTTTATGAGTGTTGGTCTGGCTCGTGCTGACGCAGACCGTGTTCCAGTAAACCGCCTCGGATGACAGAAAACACTCCAACACCAACAGAAGGACAGCAACCATCCACTATCTGTTGGGCTTCAAAGCAGCGATCTGGAGTCGCCGAGAGTTTGACGTCTGAAAGCAGATCAGCGCCAAAGCAGAGAGAGCAGAATGTGGCGGCGCTGCTTTTGGCCGTTTGGTTTGTTCTGGCGCATGTTTCAGGGCAGCAGTGTGTGATTATCACACCACAGCCATGTTTCAAGAACAGGCCTATTTATAGAGCGGCGTGGCGGCCGGGCTGGACGGGGATGCCCTTTACCCGCCGCCATGGGACCAGCGCACGCCACAAAAGGTCAAGTGTGAGACGCTAGAAATATGTGAGAGTTTGGAAAAGATGATGAGAATAAATATAGCTGTTTGTGAAAGAGAGTCAGAGATGGAGTTTGGAAACCCAAAGCTCTGAATGTTTTTATGTTTCTTTGTTTTAGATCCAGTAAAGTGAGATAAGACGCCTCCCACAGTAACTCCTGACAGCTTCGGTGTAGACGATGGTCAACAGAGGGAATCAGAAATATGGGCGTAGAACTGAACCACTGATGTCATGGAGAGCATCGTCCTCTCACAATCACTTGCTTTGAACGGATGAAGAAATCTCCACAACTCTCATGTAGACAGAAGGTCTGTATGTTTATTCTATATAAAAACATACGTTCCATTGAAACCACTTCAACGTTCCTCAAACCAGTGAAATGATTTTAATACTATTTATAGATGAGCGACGTCCTCGTCATGCAGGAGACACACAATCAAACCAGACAAACACAATCATATCAAAGCTCATCAGCAGTAAAGAAGCTGTCTGTCTGAAAGGCTAGCTAGCTGACTTTATGCTAACTCCATAATGTCATGTTGTGTTAGGTTGCTGTCACACCAGCTAACTAACAGACTGGTAAACTAATGACGCTATGCTGTATTAGCTTTCTGTAGCATTAGCTAACTAGATAACTAGCTTACTTTATGATAGACTAATAATGTTGCCTATGTTAGCTTTCTGTAGCATTAGCTAACTAGCTGACTCTATGTTAAACTAATACTGCTAGCACTAGCTACAGAGCACTTTATGCTAAGCTAACACTATTGTACTATTTTAGCTTGCTGTAGCATTAGCCACATAGCTTAGCTTCTTTGCTACTGCAGGCTGAGCATTCCTGCTAATTTGTGATTCGACATAATGTTTAAACCATAAAACTGGGTATCAATGAAAATAAAGTTATAGTGAAGGAACACGAAGAGCAGCATAACTTTACTAAAGTTATAACTTTTGTCCTTTTGACCTCCTGATTCTAAATTAATTGGCAATAATTAAACAATTTTCTGTGAAGAATCAACAATCATTTGTTTAATTAAAAGCTTTGTTCCAGTTTAAGTCTGAGCAGCATCATATGTTGAAGACAAAGTGAATCCTATCTGGTGTGGACGAGGTGACAAGATGCTGCTTTTAAACATCTTACATTTAGTTTTAATCACAGTTTTGCAGCCTGTTAGATTTGATTATCTTCTAATCGGATTGTATTTATTTCAACAGAAACAGACGTTGTTGTTAATGTTGGTGTTTACCTGAATGTTCAGGTGTGATTTAAACCCGACAAACACGGACCCGCTCTGAACACCTGAGGCCTGCTAGCGGGTCACCAGTCACTGGAGTTAAAGACTGAAGGTAACGGGAGCTCAGAACACCACCGTGATCTGGTCCTGACTGAAATCCATCCTGCAGCCCTCACAGGAACCTCAGGGCCCATTTCAGGTGTGAGCTCCTCAGCGCAGAACCCCGTGAAGTGAAGCGCCTGTCATCGCTGGACGATTCTGAAAATGAGACGTGGCACCGGGCCCGCTGGCCGCCGCTCAGGGGAAACACTTCAAACCTCTTTTCGGAGCTTTGGTGCAAGGAATGGAAGAGCTGAGGTAAATGCTTTTAAGCTTGTTCCGTATTTCGTCAGACGTTTCCCAACTGAAGGGACCTCTTATCAGGCAGAACCAGCCGTCCAGCCAATATGGCAGAATTGGAGATGTCAGACGCCTCTGAAGCCAGAGACTGCTTGGAACTCGCAGGAATTTGCAGTAGTTTTCCACATCTGAGAGGCCAAGCATCTGCCACAGTTTGAGGCCTGTTATCATTAACCCCCACAAAAGAAAACAGAAACCTTCGCCCCGAAACACACGAGGACAAACCATCAATCACGGCCGAGCTCCGGCGAGGAGACGATGACAGCGATACGTTGGGCTGGAAGGAATTAGTAATGAGACGGAGCTCCGGCTTATATAAGAGGACGGACACGGCGAGGCGTCTGCTCGTGATCTGAACACTTTCTGTCTTTCCATTGTGTTGCATGTTCACATTCCTTCCTCCGTCTCTGACTCACACGCAGCAGAGGACCGGCACCAGACCCGACCCAGGACGCGGTTCCGACACGCCGCTCAGACGCTCATTTCACGGCTGTTGGACGGAACAAATGCACTTCGATTCTGATCAATACCGTCGACCCGGCTGCGTCCGTGACCTGAAGCACGTTCTAATGCTTCCAGAACAACAGAATGAACTCTGCCAGAACCCGACATCCACTCGGCCGGGTTTGGACCGAAGCTGCCTTCACTGAGCAGAATGCATCAACACGACTGTTTTCATATAATTATCAGGCAGATTGTAAGCAAACTTTGGAAAAGATCCAAACCAGCTGCTGACTGCTCGAGAACCTCAAAGGAGAACCGAGAGAAACATTTAATGTACGAGAGAAACATGGAGAATGTTCCTCGATGACGTTTCGTCCAATCAGAAACGTCTCAGCGGCGTGATGAGGGTTCGCTCCGTCCTCCATGAAACACGTTCACTCTGTTTTAAAACACATCTAAAGCTGTTTGTGCTCATTTCATTCCAAGTTATTTCATACTTATACTTCTGTGAACTTTTTGTTTTAATGCAATACTTCAAATTCCATGTGATGGAAACATGGCCGCCGCTGACGCTGCACACGGACTAAAGCGAGGAGAAGCACCTCACACCACAGCCACAGGAAACCGAATTCTATCAGTTATTGGCGTCCATTATTTGAAATATCCAAATGAAGCATTTCTGCATCCACAGTGACTCATGCTGAGACATCCAGGAGGAGGTTTTCCTGCCGTGTGGAACCAGTTCACTGAAATGTTTGCTAACAGGATGTGGAAGCACCACAGCTCACCACAGCTCACCACAGCTCACCACAGCTCACCACAGCGCTCATCAGCACCAAACTACTGGTGAGGTGATAAGAAGGACCACGGAGGTCAGATGGACAGATGTTGGTGCTAAATGAACCTTCTGAAACCCCAGAGAACCTGCCGGCAGGTTGGAAAGTTACCAAATGAGAACATGGACCTGAACAGACACGTTCTGTTGGTTCATGAACGCATCATGTGACAGGAAACATGAGCACATCTGAGCTTTCAATTCTATTTCATCAAAAACCGCTCGAAACTATCGGCCTCGTTTAGAAATGAGTCTAAAATAAATTGTTTTTACAAACCAGATTCTGTAAAAACCAAAAACTCTCCGTTTCTTGGCACCACTGTGACGTGACCAGCAGGTCCAGGATGGAACCTCAGAAGACTCTGAACTGCAGACGGTGTTTCCACAGAACAGAGATCAACACCGTCGTATAGAAACCAAGAAACCAAGCTAGATGTAAAACGTAGAACAACCTCTGAGCTACAGAGCCGGTAACACCTGTGGAGACTTTGGGAAACGTTGGACTTCCTTTTTTTTTTTTTTTTGTTGTTGAAATGATGAAAGAAATGAAACTTTTTTATGGTGTTTGGGGGAAAATAACGTTTGTACCAAATGTTGAGACAAATTCCTCCAACAGTGGTTCAGATGTTTGACCAACAATGAAGTTCAATAAAGTAAATAAAGTGATCTGCAGATTCCTTCATTTTTCCTCCGTGTGCTGCTCAGACCATCCAGGCAGCCTCCCTCCTCCCTCCACTCTGTACAGGTGTGCTGCGTTACCTGTAGTTCTGCTTCTCGCTGCCGACCTGGAAGCGGTCGTACAGGGAGAAGGCCTGGTGTCCGTCCCAGTCGGTCAGCTCCACTCGGAGGGCGTACTGCCGCTGGCTGGTCAGCTGGTAGACGAACTCGTTCCCCAACCAGTGCTCTGCAGACAGGCTGCCGAAGCCCTGCAGGACGAGCAGAAGGCAGAAGGTCAGCTGGAGATCAGAGCTTCTCCTGGAAGGACAACATCTCAACACACCGTGAAACGATTCAATCAGAAACTAAACGGTTTGTGATCACAGACAGCGTGGAGGTTCATCCACCAGCACAAATGGTTCTTTTTGTTCGGACTCTGTTGGGTCAGAACAAATAAGCAGAAGTGAGCTTAGAATCGTGCCATTTCATCAAAAGCTCATTATTCACCGTCTGATTTACAAACCTTCCAAAAACAAACCAAATCGTTCAGCTGAGGCCGTTCTGGCTCCGCTGTGGTCGACGGTCACATGACAGGAAGTGTCTAAACCCAACGCAGACGAGGAGCTGATTAAAAACACAATAACCAACCATGAAACGAGACTCAGGTGGTTAAAGTATTATTAGTATTATTATTATTATTAGGTGGATCCATTGACCAACTATGAAGACAGAGTTTCACATAAAGGGTTAATAAACTGTTTCATTATTTGCGGATTAATTTATTTTTTAAAGGTCTAACAGGCCTGAAGCTTCGACCACATTCTGTACAAAACTAGAAACCCTGCGTTCGTCGGCACACTTACACTTCTTATTGTTTATTTGTGTGTATTTATGCTGGTGGGAACTTTGTCTTTGTGCTGTAACAACCAGAACAACCCTTGGATGAATAAAGTATTTCTATTCTATTCTATTCTATTGTATTCTATTCTATTGTATAACCGTGAAGCCGCTGAGCTGTGATCAGACGTCCAGACGCTGGCGGCTGACCTGCAGCGTCTCATGTCACCTGTCACCTGTCACCTGTCACCTGTAGGAACTCGTCACACGTTGATTCCATTTTATTTAATTTTATTTTCCAATCAAGGAAACTAAACATCTTTTTTCAGTGTTTTAGACTCTGTCTCTGAGTTCTCGTCTTCATGTGGTTCTGGTTCCTCAGAGCTGCAGGACTTCATGTGGACACAAGAACCTCAGTGAAGGACCAGGAGCTGGTTAGAGGACCATGAAGCTCACGTCATGTTGTGTCTATTGACTCCAGTATTGATGTGTTTGTTGGATGATGAACGTTTTTCAGGCTGGTAGCTGCTCATGTTGGAGGATCTTCATCCATAAGCGCCTGTAGCAGTGAGTAAATTGGTACCAGCTGACGGAGACAAACACCTTTTTCCCATTTCTGTCCTCCACTGCAGTCACACATGTTTAAGTCATTATGAGCTAAAGACGCTCCTTCAAACAACTGCAGAGGCTCGTGTGTGATCAGAGTGGCTCCTGGTCACAGCCAAACTGCTTCTGACAGCGCCGGAGATCACCGGGCCGGGTCGACGTTTCAGCCTGACAGCAGGGCCCGGCCCGCTCCGCCAGAGGACGGGCGGCGGCACCGCGCTTGTGCTGAGCGAGTGATGAGGAATGGGAAGCAGGGAAAGTAAATACGGGGCATTCCTCGGGCCTGAGGCATGTCCTGCTGAGTGGGTGGACGGGCCGGGCTGGGGCCCATTACCACTCTGCTGATGAGATGTTCCCTCCTGACCGGCCTTCAGCTCGCTCCAGCGCCTCCTGCTGCGACCCGCTTTATCTCAGGAACTCTGGCTGCAGCCGAGGCCTGGACCGCAGCTCTGTTGACAGTTTCTCCTGGTCCGGTTCCGACGCCTCGCCACTCTTCACACGCAAACCTGATCCGCATCACTCAGGCCGGAGAAGATGAGGAGACGGTTAGTCACATTGTTGGACGCGGCGCCTGGTTTGCATGTCAGCTACACTCGGTGAAATCAGGACGAATTTACTGGTCGGAAGGAAACGTAAATGTTGAACGCTATAAATCTGAGGAGCTCGGAGATGAACCGGAGTTACAGCCAGCGCTTGTTTTATTCCCACTGATGAACCGGGCCATCCATCATGGGGGCGGATGATATTTAACACCGTTAATTACACTCGCCGGGCACTTTATTAGGTACAAATGATCGGTGGGTCAGTCCAACGCAGCAGATCTGCCATCAATTCTGCTTTAACAGATTCAGCGTTTTCATCCACAGTGTTTATATCTGAAGTCAGACGGAGTTCCAAAGACTTGTTCTCTCCCGTTTATTAACGAGGTGAACTAAATAAGAGCCAGGAATAGGTATGCAGGCACCTCTGACAGCTTTTATGTCACTATTTGAACTATTAATTTTAGCAGTTTTACTTCGACCAACTATTTCATCTGCTTTCGTTAACGACTTCCAATTTTAACTGCTTCTTCCTCCTGTTAGCTTCCTCCTGTTAGCTTCCTCCTGTTAGCTTCCTTCTGTTAGCTTCCTCCTGTTAGCTTCCTCCTGTTAGCTTCCTCCTGCTAGCGAACAACCGCACTGTTTATAGCTGACCAACCTGTTAGAACCAGTTTTTCATTGCTTTAGCCTTAATATTTTAACTATTTTAGTAACTATTTAGACAGTTTTCATTACTTTTATTTTGTTAATCTATTTTTAATTTACCATTACAACTGTTTATCTTCTTTAAATTACTTCTAGCTAGCTAGCTAGCGAGCTAACTTACTAACTAACTGGTGGAATCAACAATAGGTTTTCATTACTTTTGGTCAAATGTTTTTCTGTTTTAATCAATCTTTACTTCACTAAACTGTTTCATTTATTTTAGCTAAACATTCACCTGGTTCAACATGTTTATTAGTGCTAACTAACGATTTAAACTGTTTATCGCTTTTGGCTTCTTTTCAACGGTTTATTAGCTGTTTTAGCAAATGAACAGTTTTTACTTTCAGCCAACTTTAACAACATTTTTTTTAACTTTTAGCTAACACTGATTATGCAGATTTTTTTTTTTAAACCTTTGTCCACTATTTATTACTGTTTTAACTGATCATTATTTTTAGCTAACTACAGCAACTTTAGCTAACTATAGCATGCTACTTTTAGCTAGGTGCGTTAACTTTTTTGCTAACTATTGCAACTATCTCTAGCTAACTATTTAAACTGTTTCTAATTACTTTTTGCCAACTATTTCGACTATTACTTACTTTCTGCTACTTTCTGTTGGTTTTTTTCTTTGAGTAAAATATTTAAACTGAGTTTGTGTTGACATTGAACTGAGCTGAACTGAAAACGTTGGTTTAAGCTCAGTGTTCTACCTCCTATTTTTCCTTAGCTTAGCATTAGCTAGCTAACGATTTCAACTACCTCTAGTTCACTATTTCAGCTGTTTCGTTCATCATAGCGAGCTATCTGAACTGTGTTAACTATTTTAACATTTTAATTAGTGCAAAACAGTTTATTACTTCAAGCTAAGTGGGTTTTTTTGTTTGAACTATCTCTAGTTAACTATTTAATTAAGTTTAGCTTTAAACTATTTCTTACTTTCAACAAACAGCTAATTCCTTCCTCACTTTTTAAACTGTTGATTGGTTTTATTTCACTGTTTCATCAGTATTCCCACCACATGCGGCTGTAGCGACTATTTCTGAAGCTGTTTCTATGACTTTGACCTCTGCGGCTCCTCCTGCTAACGCTAATGCGATGCTAACGTGTGACACCGGACTCATTGTGCTGCACATAATGATGTGTGGTCACCTGGCAATGAACGCTACAAACATGGCGTTGAGATCACATCTTAATATCTGCGCTGTGTCCCAGCTGCCAAACGTCCCTCCACGGTCCCACAAAGAAACAGAACTTCAGCTTCGAGTAAAAGATTAACGAATCCCCCGAGTCCTTTAAATGTGTGAGTACAAGCCTCCGGAGACGGAGAATGAGAAAATTCATAACACAATAAAAAGCTATCCATCAGCTCGACTCTTTTCAAGGAGGCCGAGCTGCTGGCTGTAAATCTGAGTTTACCTCGTGTTCTGCTGTCCGTCGGTACACCTGCTCACAGCTGGTTATGGTCCACATCTTTATTTCCTCGTCCTCCTTTGTTTGCTGTTTTATTTATTTCCTGTCTGAGCGTCTTTACTCTGCTGAGTTTGGACCAGAAGAACCCGTCCTGTTCTTGAAGGCCGATAAGCTGTTTGTGTTGACTTCTATCCAAACTCTCTGCTCAGATCTCTTTACAAAAACCAATGTGAGGATTTCTCATTAAAATAACTCTATAATTACCATGTAGGAGTAATAAATGACCCGGTCTCAGCAGTGGACTCTCTGTGGGAGTTCTTTGACTTGTACCGTCCCACCATGTCCTTGAAATCTTTTTCCCACTGACTGAGAAATTACAGCAGTGGAGGCAAAGGAAAGCAGAAACAGAATATAGGGGAAGCATGAGCGTAACCCGACAGCCAGCGGAAGATATAAACAGGCAACTTGTGCAGCACAACAGCAGCGATGCAACTGCCAGCAATAATAAATCCAATTTACCATCTAAACACAGCCGAGGTTGGAAATGTTAACACCCTTAATGCAAATATGCATAGATCCGTGCCTGATGACAAACACATGAAGCACCTGGCAGGGCGCTACCGAGACTAAACAAATGCCTTGTTTTCACATTTAGGTAGTAATTTCCTGTTGGAGCGGAGCAAGAATAACAGCATGTCAGCGAGGCCTCAGACGCCCGGGACAATAGCGCTAATGCAGAGCCGACGGGGGAGCTGTTCCTGAGGAGGGATGACATCTGGACGGAGCCTTCCAAACGGTCTTGGATCACTGGGTTCTGACTCTCAACATGCTCGGTCGAGGCCAAAATGTGCAGAGTATCTGTCATAATTCTGCTGTGGAAGTGTGTTTTTTATAGCAGGATGTTTTGCTCGTCGCACAGTTACGAAATGTGTGCTTAATGGATATGGATGAGTGTGTCCTCTGTATGTCTGAGTGTGTATCCTCTCACTGTCTACTGTTTAAAAAGCTGATATCATCATCTGCTGGCTAATGGATATGAATGAACGTGTCTCACCATCTTATACTCCTTCCACGTCCTCTGGAAGTCCACGCTGCCGTCCTCCCGCCGCTGCATCACCGTCCATCCGCCGCCGGCTGTTTCCATGTTGCAATACACCTACGCAATGAAAAAACACAGAGAGGGAGGATGGGAAAGAGCACACATGTATGAAGTTATTGGAACTTTGAAAGCACCCTAAGGTCTGTGTCAGAGATGGTCCAATCAGATCTCAAAGATCGGGATCAGGGCCAATCAAGGCCTTTTTAAACTGATTGGTATCAGCATGAACCTGAACCCGATCCTGAGCTGACGTCCACTGTCACACAGATGTTGTAAACGGAGAAAACGATTTGTGGCAGGACGCTCAGGACACAAAATCAATAACTGGCAGCGTTGATCAATCTAGAATGGATTCATCAGGAACAT